AAGGGGGTGACTATTATATATAAGACTTTTATGTTGCAAGAGGCAGAAATCACCTTGTTCTAGCTAAAGAAAATACAAAAGGTAATTTATGGAGCTCTTGTATCTCTTCCTCAGTAGATCTCACAAAATATCTAGGGTTGATGCTGATTATCCCATCAGAGATCTATGGAGAGTGGCCAGGCATGGGTCATATGCAAATCTCCAGAACTGGGATGAGAAGATGATGCAGGGAAAAGGAAGTGGTCAACTTTACAGGGACAATGGCAGTGGGGAGTAGTCCCCTCAAAAGAAAAGAAAGAGTGCTGGTGCCAGTAGAAGGAAAAGGCTGCCAGTTGAGGAGGGGAAGAAGAGCGAATGGAACACACTCACAGGAGTCAGGAGTGAGCCCAGTAGTGAGTCTTGGGATCTATCTGGGCAGTGGTCCATAGGATGAGACACATTTGAAGCCAGCATGGTGGACTGGACAACAAAGAAGGCTTCAGATCCCATGAAGAGATACTCCCTTCAATTTCCTCAAAAGAAGAGGCTATGTTAGTCAGCTTCCCATTGCTGTGACAAAATGCCTGAGATAAACAACTTATAAGGAAGAAAGGTTTATTTTGGCTCATGGTTTCAGAGGTCTCAGGTCATGGTCAGTTGCCTCCATTGCTTTTGAACCTGTGATAAGGCCCAAAACATCACAGCAGGAAGTGCATGATAGAGCAAAGAAATAGAAAAGGGTTGGGGTCCCAAAATCCCCTTCATAGCTACACCTCCAATGACCTAACCTCCTTCCTCTAGGCCCTACCTCCTAAAATACCCACTATCTCCCAATAGTCTCACAAACTAGAGACCAAGCCTAGTCCCAACACATGAGCCTTGGGGTGACATTAAAGATCCAAACTGTAGTAGGATTGTAGGAAATTGAGTCTAAGACCTCACTAGCAGAACAAGAGAAAAGATAGAATTATTGTGGAGGGAGCCCTTCCCCACTCTTGTAAAGAGGGACCTGGGGTGACTAGGATTTAATTTACATAAATGTGAGAAATGTCATCTCACACACATCGCTCAGTGTGGCTTTTATCCTGCTCTGGCCTCTCTGTTGCTAAATGATGAGAGATGGCACTTCCTTAGATGGGGGCTGATTCTTAAGGTTGATTAAAAGTAGCCTTTCTCATGAATCACCTGCAGGCCTTTAAACTATTGGACCTCCTGCAATACCCTTTGCAAATACTCCTGCCAGTGGAGATAGGACTTCCTGTCGGCCACAGAACAGAGAAACCATGTCTGTAGCTGTTTCCAGGTTTCCCAGCTCCAGAGTCCCAGCAAGAAGCGAGATCAGAAAACAGGAAGTAGGGCCAGGCCTGCAGCCAGCCCTGGGTGGTGCTCTCATTATGTGAAGTTGGCTCCCGGCTAGCTCGGTCTCAGAGCACCTATGGGAAACTGACCACAGTGCCTGTGGCTCTTGGCCTGGTTCTTGGGCATCTCAATGGCAAATGGTCTCCTGGGTCGTGCGTGGGCCCTTTAGATGGTTGGTGGGGAGGAAGGAATCGGGAGGCCAGGTGTTGGGTCTAGCACCACCGCTAGGCAGGCCCTGAATGCTCTTTGATATCCTTATCTGAGGGCACGGTCCCCACCCTGCCAGGCTGACATGAGGTTCAATGGGATGGTGTACATCCAGCCTGCACCACAATGCTCAGAACATCAGAAGCCAAAGAAAAGTGAGTTCCTTCCAATGGAGGGAGGCTCAAAACGAAATGGGCTGGCCGAATATGGAAGGTGCTTGCAGACAGAGCTAGCAGCCCGAGTGCCAGCCTAGCAGCTGGTATCCAGAACAAGGATGACGATCTCCTATGGATCCTGGGAGTGTGAGTCCCAAATATACATGATACATGGACAGTGCTGGCACACACCACATTCAGCACAACCTTGGCCAGCAGGTGGACACTCGAGGTGCCAAGCTCAATGAGACATGATCCTTGCCCACATGAAGGTGCTAGGCTGCTAGAGAGAGTGGTAGCTGCAGGAACAGTGAGGACAAGGAGCAGGTGATGAAGGGCTTCATGGAGGAAGAAGTGCTGGAGGCTCATCCTGAAGGATGTGCATGGTGAAGCAGGGTGGGAGGAGCACCAATATTTCAGGCATGGTGAGGGGGAATCGATGCATAGTCAGAGCTTCAAGAGTAGCTGCACCAGTCTGGGCACTGAGCACACAGTGCGAGGGAGGGAGCCTGGAAGACATAAGTGGAGAGGGATACAGATTCCCATCGATGGAGCCCAGAGGAAGCCCAGGCAGTGCTGCAGGTGAGGGACAGTAGAGGCCTAAATAGGGGTTTTGGTGGTGATAGAGATGAACAGAGGAGGAACAGCTGGAAGGGGTTGGTGACTGCTTAGATGCTGGTGGCCAGAGAAGGAGGCCAGGGAGGGAGATGGGTGCCTTGGGAACACACAGCATTGGTACGGGGGTGTGGAGGCAAGATGGCAGCTTCCAGCCTGGCACTTCCTCACTAGTCACAAGGCCTTCCCTTTTCAAAAACTACCCACTATCCCACCAGAACAGGTCCAGCATGAGGCAGCAAGTATGGGTGCCCCATTAGGGGCAGTCAGGCCCAGGTGCAGCACGGCTGAGGAGAGGGATCAAGGATACTGAAGAGTTACCATGAAGGGGCTAGCTGGGCCTTACTGCCTGAGCCCAGCCCTAGGACACACTGAGAGCTGCAAGCAGTGGGAGGAGGGCTGTCAGCCACCCCCCAGGGCACTGCATGGACACTGTGGTCAGCTCAATAATGACCTCAAGGTGTCCACATCCCAGAACCTATGAGTAGATTACCTTCATGGCAAAAGAGACATTCCAGATGTGACTAAGTTAATGTTGCTGCTACAGGGAACTTATCTGGGATTATCTGGTGGTTCTCATGTAATCTTGAGGGTCAGATAGGGACACTGAAAGAGTTGATGTAAAAATGACCCAGAGTTGGAGGGATTAGGAAACACTATACTGTTGACTTTAAACAGGAAGGAAGGGCCGGGTACCAGTGGCTCACACCTGTAATCCTAGCTACTCAGGGAGGCAGAGATCAGAAGTTTAACAGTTTGAAACCAGCCCAGGCAACTAGATAGTGAGACCCTATCTCAAAAATACCCATCACAAAAAAAGGCCTGGTGGAGTGGCTCAAGGTATAGGCCCTGAGTTCAAACTCTAGTACTGAAAAAAAAAAAGAAGAAAGAAGAAAAGAAAGAAGGAAGGAGGAGGAGGAGGAGGAGAGGAGAAGGAGAAGAAGAAAAGGGGCCTCTCTCAGGCAAGGAAACAGATTCTCCCCTGGAGCCTCCAGAAAGAAGGCAGCCCTGCAGACCTGTTTTGGCTTTTCCAATCTTCAGAATTGTTAAGATAATAAATTCGTGTTTTAAACTGTTAAATCCATGGTGATTTGTCACCAAAGCAACAGGAAATTAACAGATACAAGTACCTAACTCATACCTAAGGGGAAAGATGGAAGGTTTGGGGGGACCCAGAATGCATGTCCCAATAGCTGCCCCATGGTCACCTGTGGAAGCAGAAGCCAGGCTCCCAATTCTCAATTCTCCTGACACTCCAGCCAATCTGACTGGGTTGCCAGGGCACGTTGGCTGGAAGAGAGGCTGGTAGGAAACTGCCCAGCCTTGACCTGGCTCCTAGTAGGGTGGAGGGGTGTACAGTGTGGTCACTGCTCCAGGACAATTGGGAATAAGGAGATGTAGGGATTCCACTTTCTCACCACCATCCCACCCAGACACCCCAGTTCATCCTCATCCCACCTCCAAAGGTCTAGCAGGGCACAGCCTCACATACACTGACCGCCAAGCCGACCCCCCATCCTGCCTACCCTACCCGAGCCTTCCATAAGCAAGGGGTCTGTGAAAAGCCGCCAAGGCTCTGTCTATAGTCATTACCTTCAAGACTGAAAAACAAGATAGAAGGCCCTCCCCTCCCCCACGCCCCATTTCTTTGGTCACTACTGAACACCTCCAAGTCTCAAACGCTCCCCTCCAGATCCTCCCGAGTCGGGGGTAGGGCCGGAGAGGGGAGTTGCCCAGCAGGTCTGGGCATCTGGCATCCTCACCTGCTCACAGGTAGGAGCCAACGGAGGATCCGGAGGATCCGCAGCGCCCTTACAGGAGCCTCTGTCAATAGTAACCACCAAAATAATGGGGGACTGTGGGTGCAGAGAGGACCCAAGCACCACTGCCTCTATCAATCTCCGTGTTAGCGGCTGGCATTCGCCACGCACCGTTTTAAGAAGCCCATTGTAAGTCACTATTGGACCAGTCACAGTTGTGAGAGTTCCTTTACGGGCATCAGGCCTCAAAAGGTGCTATTCTTAAACCAATCCAGGAGAGTGGGAGCAGGGTACTAAGCTAAATTGTCCCAAATCTTACAGCTGGAGAGTGGCGAGCTGGAGTTGGAACCAGGAGGTCGGGCTGCAGGATCGCACTCTCAGCTCCTGGTTGTATCCACAAAGACAGAGGTCAACTTGAGCGCGCAGCGCCGCGGGGATGGTCAGGCAGGTAGCCCTAGGGCCTGGGACAGGTACGTAGACCCGCCCTAGATCCGGGAAGGCTCCCTCAGCTAGGGTCCGAGCTGAGCCTAGAAGAGACGCAGTCCTCCAAGAATCTGGGAAGGGTGGTGGCGCATTTCTGGCCGCGGACACAGCACGTGCCAAGGCCACCAGGTGTAAGAGGCCAGGTGCGTAGCGTCTATACGAGGCTGGGGGAGAAGGTTTTAGCTCTGCCCTCGGTGATGGAGGTTATCTTTATACTCCTCCCGACCAGTAGTCGCAGGAGGCCTTGGGAGCCTCTGATCCCCAAATCAGGGACCTGCCAGGGCCGGAGCCCGGCGATTTCCGGGAGCGCACGAGCAGCTCCGCGCCTCTCCTGGGCCTTAGCCAGGGCCAGGGCGGAGCTGTGGCGTCGGGGCGCTGAGTCCCTGCCCCCGCCGGGCACTGCAGCGGACCGCGCCGCCACAAGGCAGCAGAGAGGCGACGAGGACCGACAGCCTGGCGTCCTGCTGCGATTTAAGAGCCGGCCCAAAGGCGATCCGTGCGACCGCGCCCCGAGGACCGGCCAGAGCAGCCCCATGGCGGGTAAGTGCCCTCGCCTCCCCACCCGGGCCCCAGCGCGCCCAGAGGCCACGCTCGGGACCGGTTGCGGCATTTGCCGGTCCGGCTGGGCGCTGCCCCTGCCCTGCCCACCCCAGCTCGATTTTGCTCCTGGAGAGGTACAGGGATGGAGGGTGAGGCCCGCGCTTCACAGACAGTTGAGGGTTAGGTGTAAGAGTTCCGCTTTCTTACCATCCCACCCTGGCCAGAAGCCCCAAGCCCTAGGTGCCCTGGAGTCTCCTCGGTCCAGCCCCAGTGATCAGCGAGTCTGAATGCCCTCAGAGGGCCCCAGTCAAGGTTTCCCAGGTCCCTGACAATGCGTGAGTCAGGTGCTGCAGCAAGGGGCCATCCGTCTCAGTTTCTCACACCAGCCCCGCCCCCCAAATCCACACCTCACTCCACTGTCTCCCACTGTTTGACCTAAGTATGGGCTCCACTTGAGGGAGCTGGTGTCAGAGAAGATAATAGACCCCAAGTGCCAGTGGCATCCCACAGCAGGTTCCAGGACCCCAAAGGTGGAGCTCTAGGTGCACACCTGGGCCATGAGTTATTCCCAGGGCATCCCTAAGTGCGTGGTCCACACCCAAACTCACTCTCAAACCTCAACAGGAGTCCAGCAGAGATGGAGGCACTGGGAAGGAGAGTTTGTTTTCTACTCAGAAGCAGAAAGAAATGGTTTCTTTTAACCACGATCCCACGACTAGGGCCAGCTACTTCCAAGGGAAACCAGGAGGGCTCCAGGGGAAATGCCTTTTCCACTGACACCCCCATAGAGTCAGCCAACAAGAAGCCTGCTCTTGTGTCACTCCTAGGATGTGACCCAGGCAGTGGAACTGCTTCTCCAATCTTGCCTGCCTGCTCTCCAGGAATAAGGGGAATGACTTTCCCCAGGCAGGTTGACTTGGTGTTCTCTGTTCTCAGAGCAGTTTGTCCTGGTGATTGGAGGCATTATTGGAGGGCTGCTGCTGGTGCTGCTGATTGGGGTGAGCTGCTGTCTGTGGAGGAGGCTTTGTGCCACCTTCACCTATGAGGAGCTGCCAGAAACACCAGCCACGGCCACCACCACTGCCTCCAGCAGTCAAGAGGACAGGCTCTGCCAGCTGCATGCCAAAACCCAGCAAAGCAGGTAAGGCAAGATGTGGGAACTGGGAACTCCAGGTCTTTCTCTAGGGCCCTCCGTGTGGACCTACTCTTGGGGTGGAGTGGGAAACAAAGTTCTAGCCATCAGCATGCTGGGAGCTATGCTAAGAAACCTCACCACAAGTTGGCAGCAGGCATTGTGAACCCCAGTTTCCAGCTCTGTAAACTGCGGCTCAGAGGACATAAGTAACAAGTTCAGATAGCATAACTAGCAAGAGGAGAACAAGAATTCGAACCCGGACAGTGTTCTTTATCCCTGATTCCAGCGCTGTGGGGGGATAGGACCACATAGTCCTGGCTATAACTGTGTGTGGGGGTGGTGTTCTTGCCTCTGCCTGGCTCCTGGTGGCTTTTCTCCCTCCAGCCCCTGGTACTCAACCCCTCTTGGCTGAGCACTCTAAGGCCAAACCATTGACCTATGTGCTGTTTCCTACCTTGGGACAGGCCACTGGGTGTGCCGTTTGTGGTGCCCCCTTCTCTCCAAGGCCAAGACTGGGTGCCCCTGCAAAGAAGAGATTGGTTTCAGGCCCTACAGGACCCCTGCTCAACCCCAGAGCTCCTGCCCCACACCTCCAGCAACTTTGGTGAGTGCTGCCAGGGCTCAGGGTCTGCTCAGGCCAAGTGCATCCTCTGCTCTCACCCACACCCCTCTATGCCTGTGAGCTATGACATCATGAGTTTTGGAGTTTACCACAATACTCATCCACTGAAGCTCAGGAAGGTTAGCAGTTCCTTGCCCCAAGTCACAGAGGCAGTAGTGACTGATCTGGAATTGGAGCCCAGGCATGCCCAGGTTGGAGAGGTGTGGCTGGGTCCTGCTCTGAGATGACCGGTTGCCTGACCAAAAGCAGAAGGGTACGAGGTTTCCACAGCCTTCCGGGTGCCTCTTTGCTCTGAAGACTCAAAGACTTTCCCAGGAACCAGCCAGTAATCAGCTTGGCCCTTCTAATTTGAAAAGCAAGGGAAAAACAGCACCATCTCTAGGTGCTGAGCACCGTGTGCTAGAAAGCAGGCTGTGACCTTCAGGGATGGGGGTCGGTCAGAGTGGGGTGAGGGGCAGGTGTTGAATGAACGATCTGGATTCTACTAAAGGTCGCAGACTGGCTGTGCACTGCTTACATGCTGAGAAGGCTCACTGGAGAGAGACACTGTGCCTGAGGGAGGACAGGGGCTTAGTCTGGAGAAGAGAGTAGGATGGAGGTGATAAGACTAGTTGAGGCTCCGACAGGAGGAGAAGGGCTAGGGTGAGGCTGGGCTGAAAGTTTGCCATTGTTCATGATATCCTTGTCTTTCTCTGACTGACCAGACCTCCCCACCTCTCTGTTGTAGGAGATGCCTGTGTGGTGGGGACCATCAATCCAGAGCTGTACAAGTTCCCAGAGGACAAAAGTGAGACTGACTTCCCTGATGGCTGCCTGGGCCGGCTGTGGTTCTCGGTGGAATACCAGCAGGAGGCCGAGCGGCTACTAGTGAGCCTAATCAAGGCACGGCAACTGCAAGTCCCCTCAGAGACTTGCAGCCCCCTGGTGAAGCTCCATCTGCTGCCTGATGAGCGGCGCTTCCTCCAGTCCAAGACCAAGCGCAAAACCTCCAACCCACAGTTTGATGAGCACTTCATCTTCCAGGTGCAGCCTCTGCAGCAGGCAAGGGCAAGTGCCCACAGCCTCAGGGAAGGAGCAGTGCACAGGATAGTCTGCTCTCCAGTGCTCTGCATTTCCCCAAGAGTCTGGACAGACTGCTGGGTCTACAGAAGCCAGCCCCTGATAGAAAAGCCACAGGAAAGATTTGGAGGCTGGGTGCCTCTTGTCCTGGGTGCTTAGAGGAGAAAAAGAAAAAAACACATTTTGGAGCACCTATTGTATGTCCCAGGGGTTCATAAGGAGCAGCCCAAATCCTGGGCAGTAAGGGGCTCTGACAAGGTTATCCAAGGAAGGTGGGATCTTCTGCTTAGAAACACCCCCAGGCTCTTGGAGTGAGGACAGGAATGTCTTGGGCTGTCAGAGGCCAGTCAGGACCTGAGGGCCAGGCTGGGACAGGTATGGTGACTTTGCTTCACCTTGGGCTGGCTGGCTCAGGTCTAGAGGTCAGAGCACCTGGATCAAAGTGGCCTGGGAGCCTTAGCAGGTGACCAGAGGCCTTAGGAAAGCTGGCACTCAACTCCTGACAAGAGGCCTTGGACAAATATTCTCTCAAGAGCTTTCCAGCAAGCTGGCTTGAGAGGTAAGGAGAGGTCAGTTGGCTTCCAGAAGGTATGTGATTGCTGAAGCCAAAGTCATGGTTCATGCCTTCCTCAGAAGCTGACAGCTGGGAAGAGGGGAGGCCTGGATCAGCCATCCTGCAGGGGAGGGGGGAGGGTGTACAGAGCTAGAGAACACACAGGTGAATCAGATCAGGATCAGCCTTGCTGACCTATTTTCCTTTTCACTCACCACTTCCCCACCCTATCCTGCCCAAATTTGATCTTGGTCTCTGTATTCTGAGAAGGAAAAGGGGCCAGAGAAGAAAACCAGTATTAATTGGTCACCTGCTGTAGGTCAGACACAGTGACTGGGGTTTTACAATCCAGAGAGGAAGAGCCATGACGCCATTTCACAGACAAGCAAGCCAAGTCTCAGGTGGGAGAACTGGCATGCCTGACTGTTAACAGAGACAGGCCATGTCCTGCCATGCTTTCTGTGCAGGCATTTGGAGCTCTTATTCAAGGGCAGATTCTAATTCATGGGCCTGGCGTGGGGTCCAAAAATCCTGCCTTTCTAACAAGGTCTCAGGTGGTGTTGGCCACTGAGGGTCCTCAGAGGATACTGTGTGACAAGGCTCTGGCACACCCTTCCCCAGGATGCTGGGCCCCACTGCAGAGAAGGTAGTTGCCTGGGTGTGCGGTTGTATAGTCTGTGGTTGAGACACCTCTCCTCAAAAGTGCCTGTGTCCAATCTGTCACACTATCCTATCCCCTGTCCCCATGCCTGACCCCGGCCCTGGTCCTCACCTCTCCCAGGTGTCCAGCAAGAGCATCACCCAGAGGGTGCTGAGGTTCTCAGTGTACCATGTGGACAGGCAGAGGAAGCACCAGCTCCTGGGCCAGGTGCTGTTCCCCCTGAAGAATGAGACCCTGGAGGGAGACTGTCGCCGCATCATCTGGAGAGACCTGGAGGCTGAGAGCCTAGAGGTAAGGCGAAGGTCACCAGACACATGCCACCAAGGGTCAGCACCACTGTGGGCAGCTGGCAGCTGCTGGCCAGCATCAGCCCTCAGCTCACTATGTGCCACCCTACAGGAGTGACTTGGAGGCCCAGGCCCTGAGCTGCCCTGGACCAGGAGCCATGGAACTGCTCTTGGGCAGAGAAGATCCTCCTGTGGTCCTTTCACATAGGCTGTCAGATAATCTGGACAACTTGAAAAATGCACATTTGAATTTCCACCCAAGTCAGATAGTTATGAAAGGGGATGTCACCAAAAGACCAACCCAGGGAAATATTTACCTGTCATTCCCCCACTGCCTAGGAAGAACTCAGGTGCCTCAAAATAGGCTTTGGAATCCCACAGATCTGGCTGTGAATCCTTACCTCTGGCCCATTTCTACAGGTTAGGGATCCCTTATCCAAAGTGCTTAGGGCCAAAAGTGTTTCAGATTTTAGAGTTTTTCAGATATTGGACTATTTGCATGTACATAACTTAAATAAATGTGTGTATGAAACACAGTTTCATGGTATGGAATTTTCCACTTGGCACTCAAAAAAGTTTTGGACACTAGATCATTTCGAAGTTTGAATTTTTAGATTAGGGATGTTCAACCTGTACTGCATACACTTAAATTCTCCACTCCTCAGTTTCCCCATCTATAAAATGGGAGGCTCAAAGGAAACCACATGGCTGTGCCACGGGCACCTGTGCCTGACCTGTGGGAGGAGAGAGGGAGGCCCTGTAGGGTTCTGTGGCCCCTCTGGCACCTGTGACAGTGACCAGGGTGGGGACTTTTTCCTCGGTCTCCCCAGCCTCCATCAGAATTCGGTGACCTCCAGTTCTGCCTCAGCTACAATGACTACCTGAGCCGCCTGACAGTGGTCGTGTTGCGTGCCAAGGGCCTCCAGCTCCAGGAGCACCGGGGTGTTGTCAGTGAGTTGCCTCTCTCACCTCCTGGGGACCTAACCCTAGCCCCAACCATTCACTATCTGCCTGCATATGCCCCATCACCAAGCACTCGCTACCTCCCGTACGCCGCATTCCCTCTGTGGACAGTTTTGATATGAGAAGCCACTTTTTATGGTCAACCTGAAGTCGTACCCCCTCACCCTGCTCTACCCCAACCAGAGACCATCCCTGCCTGTCTAGTTCCCCAAGGTAGTGTCTTGTCTTCTTGAACTGTCCTCCTCCTGCACCTATCCCCCAGCAGGTTAAGGTCCACACTCCCCACCTCCAGGGAAGGTGCTCACTGGGGCACCAATGCCCAGAAATGGTGCTCCTGATTCCCCCAGCCTCCCAGAACACTGGAGCTGAGGGCAGTGACCCTGGCTATCCATCCTGTTTGCCCCTTGTGTGCCCCCAGAGAGACATAGGTGCCTGCCTGTGGATCCAAACCCATCTAAGCCCCACCCAGACTCAGCCCTCTGAACACACAGGTATTTAAGAGACCCCATGACCCTAAGAACCCATCAGGCAACCCCCTCCCCAGCAGGGAGGGATGGGCGTGTAGTCCCAGGCTCCAGTAAACAAGGGCTAGCTGAGACTAAGAGGAAGGAAAGGGAAGGAGCCAAGAGTTTCCTCGGCCATAAGCCATTACACTAATCAACCCATTTCTTCTTGTCACTTCCTCGGCCTCTGCAGCTGAAAGAGTGATGGAGACTTGGCACCATGGTTGGGCACGTACCCTCCTAGCCAGAGCCCCCATGGGTGGACACTGGGCTCCTGTCTGCCTCTCCCAAACCAGTAGTGTGTGCTGTCCCTCAGGTGTGTTTGTCAAAGTGTCTCTGATGAACCACAACAAGTATGTCAAATGCAAGAAGACTTCGGCTGTTCTGGGCTCTGTGAATCCTGTGTACAATGAGACCTTCAGCTTCAAGGCTGACGCTGCTGAGCTGGACACAGCCAGCCTCAGTCTGCTGGTGCTGCAGAGCGTGGAAGGAGACAGTAAGGCTGAGGGGGGATGGGTTACTGGGCAATGGGCGAAGGAGGGACCGCTGAGCGTGCAGGCAGAGTGAAATCCTCTGGAGAAGCTTCCAACTACTGTTCCCTGGCTAAAGAAACTAGCTTTCAGAGAGACTGAAATACTTACCCCAGGACACACAGCTTGTCATCAAGAGGGCTGGGGTTCATGCCTAGCTTCAGTCTACTTGAAGCTGTGACCCCAGAAAGAGGCTTAAGGATGTCCTCTGCTACTCCCTCCTGGGAAAATCACCAAAGGTGACATGGCTACCTCTGCTACCAGCCAAGTGACCTGTGCCATGGGTGTTGTGTGCCTGGCATTTCTTTGTGCCTTCAGGACAAGGCTTTATGGTCCTGTACAAGTTATCCCAGCCAGCTGTCCCTGAATGCCCATCCTCCAGTGTCCACTTCCACTAACAGGGGAACAGAGCCATCAGGCCATCGCTGGTCACATGGGCTGAACATAGGGCCCTTCTCCTGGAGGGGGGCAGTTGGTGATCTGACTGAGTGTTCTACTGAAGGTAGAACGAGGCAGATGAAAGAGGCCTTTCTCTGGACGGACCCTTTTCCTCTGTTAGCTCTTTGGCACGTAGTAGGTGTAACATGGCCCTGCAGGAGAGTGAGGGACAAAATAGCCATCCCTGCATGGCAGGTTCTCCTCTGTAGTTTCCCAGGGACAAGAAGCAACCCTTTGGCCCCAGCACAAAGCAAGGGTCCCTTAAGTACAGCTCACACTTGGAGTGGAAGGGCCTTGCTATTGCCCACCAGGGAGGAGAGCGAAACACAGAGCTAGAGCGACAAATCACTGGAGGTGTTGGGATGTAGGATGCAGCCTCCATGTTAAGAACATAATGGGTTGCTCCCTCTGCTGCAGAGAGCCACCCGCTGGGCCGCGTGGTGCTGGGCCCCTACATGTACTCCCGCGGTAGAGAACTGGAGCACTGGGAAGAGATGCTTGGCAAACCCAAGGAGCTGGTGAAGCGCTGGCATGCGCTCTGCCGCCCCGCTGAGCCCTGACTCCGTGCCTGGATGGCAAGTTGGCTTCAGAAATTCACTGGCCTCATGATCACGTGTGATGGACGTTGGATGCAACTTTCTCAGTGCACTGCGGGGCCAGCCTGGGCCATGGAGACATGAGTGCTGATAATCAGAAGAGAAGAGGGGACAAGGAAGCCCCACCATGTCAGCAGCTGTGGTCAGGAGCCCTATCGACATACCCCACCCCTCTTTACCTGTGGGGCTGCCTGGGCTAGGAGCCCAGCTCCTGGTCACCATGGTTGTGATTTGGAATGGAATCTAAGGTATTCAGAAGCAATGGCTATAGAAGCTGAATGGAAGTTCAGGTAACCTTGGGTCCTGCCATCTTGGAAAACTGGTCGTGTGTTGAGGCTACACCTGCACTGCTTTTCAAGCCAAGTTTTCTGCCCCACATCTTGTCAAGTCTTGCCCATGGCCCACCCTCCCCATAGTCCCAGACCTCATTCCCCTGGCCTTCCAGTGACCTGCAGTCGTTTGAGTGTTCATCGTGACTCATAGTGTTCAATTTCTGGGCTCTCACTTTGGTCAGGAAATGGTGAGCCTAGGGGGCCATCGTGTGGTCCACAGGGCTGCAGATTTTTCTCATGAACCTCTCGTGATTCTGACATGATTGTTGTACCTGGTAGGTGTCAAACTCACTATCACTGTCACCAACTCCTTAGAAGTTGTATTCAAGCTAATAAGCCACCATTGTGCTTCTCACTGTTATTGTCATAGGCAGTGTGAATCTGCTTTGTTGTGCTGTGGGGGTCGCAGTCAATGCTCAATTACTGTGTAAGTAAAGCAGACTCTGAACTCGTGTCTCTCTTTATACAGTGAAGCAACTTCAGCAAAAGAAGGTAGCAACCTTTACACAGAGTTTGCGCCTCCACAGCTTCGCTTCTGATCTGTCGAATGCACACACTTTTCGCTTTGCCTGGCACTGTTCCATGTACAGACTGTCTGGCATTTGCTTTTTTCTCACTCATTTCCCTTGCACATTTTTGATGTGATCCACCCTGCAGTAGTTTCTAAGAGCTTCTTAGCACATACATAACGAGTTCTGTGCTTATAGGCCAGGCTACCAAAGTGGAGCTGTTTCAGTTTCTGGAGCCCTGAGACACTAGGTGCCCAAGTGCCCCCACATCCCGAGGTGAGGCTTGTGATTAACAGTGGCCTTTCTAGGGTCACTTGGAAAGCTGGAAAGTGTGTTTGCAGGACAGCATGGACTGGTGTATCTGACTCATCTCCAAAAGAGCTAAATGGCAAGAGATGAGCAGGCTGTCTGCTCTGATGGGGAGGAAGGACACCCTGTATTGGGCTACAGATATAGTCAGGGCAAAAGCTCCATGTGTTGTGTGTGCTTCCCATGGATCAGTGCGAGCTCATCTTAGATTGTTTCAAATCCTATCCACAAGTGACTGCCAGCAGAAAGAAGCTCTTCATTTCCATAAAACATTTTAGAATAAGCTAGACAATTTCTACAAAAAAGCTAGAATTTAGCTGTGTTTCATTTACTATGTAACAATTTGGAGATCATCTTTAGAATATTAAATCTTTTGATCCTTTAATATGATATATCCCTCCGTTTCTTAAATTGTTTTAATTTTTAAAGCTTTCTTAGAACACTTTTCAGTAAAGTGTTTTCCACTCTTTTCACTAGATTTATTCTTAGGTGGTTTTTACTTATCTGTTGCTAAACAGATTCTACAGATTCAAAAGTGTGTTGCTGGGAAAAGTGGTACATGCTTATAATCCCAGTTACTCAGGAAGAAGAGACAGGATTACATTACAAGGCCAGGCTGGGCAAAAGTTAGCAAGACCCTGTCTCAAAAACCAGTTGGGTTTTTATTCTGTATTACAGCTTAATGAATTTTCTTTTGCTAGGTCTAACCATGGTTAACTCATATGCTAAACTCTTTTTTTTCCCATTAATCTTTTTATTAGGATATATTTGTTGTACAGTGGCATTCATTGTGACAATTCCATATAGGCTTATATTGAGCACTGTCACTGTCTCTCCCCCTCGGTCCCCTCCCTGCCTCACTTAAAACTATTGCAAGAGGTTTTTTTATTCTATTTCGTACATGAAGTCCATCAACCATATTCCCTCACCTTAATCTCCTCATTCACCCTCCCCCTCCCACAAGTACCTCCCCACATACACTGTACCTATTCCATATGCTAAATTCTTAATTTAAATTATTGCATTTTCCAGTTCTAAGTTTCCATTTGATTCCTTCTCAGAGATTCCAGTCCTCTGATGAAAATCTCTATTGATGTCTGTGTCTGACATCAGTGTCTGGATCTTTAGTGGGTCCATTTTATTGTGTGTGTTTTTCTGCCTTAGCCATGTTTCCTGGTATGCTTGATCATTTATTGTTGAATGCCAACCATTATGATAAATTATAGTGGCTCCAGTGAAATCATCTGTAGATAATCTTCCTCCAGAAATGGCTTACCACATCCTCTGGTAGACAGAGGGAGCAGGCAGAGGTCACTGTAATCAAGCCTGGTACTGAACTGATGAGAGTCTAAGCTGCAGGTTTTGTATGACTCTATCTCTATGTCTGGTTTGCTACCATTTCTCAGGTGTTGTCCTGCAAGGACCCCAACCAAGAGTCTGCTGTGTTTACCAGCCTTCTCTCCTTCTGTGGACCCTGACTTCCAGTTTTTATCTTTTCAGTCTTGTGATTCTCCCCAACACTGCTCACTTTCATTGGCTTTTTGTTTACCTTAAAAATTCAACAAATGTTTCCAGGGGAAAAGTCCCTAAAGGTGTCAAAGTGGCTTTTTTGTGTCTCCTTTCTCTGACACTTGGCCCACCCAGTCCCAGCTGCCTTGGCCACCTCGTCTCCAGTTTCTCATCATCTCCCCACCTCCAGAGACGCTGCAGCCTCTGCCACCTCAGCCTCAGCCTCTGCCGAGTGCTCAGCCTCTTAACCTAAACACGCAAATTTTCTAAAGGGGAAAATAGTATGTAGAATATCACCTCCCCTCTTGTGCTTTCCTTAAAGAAGGTTTTCTGTATTTTATTTGGCTTTTCCACCTGCTCTCAGCATGAATGCCAGTCTGCCTCAAGCAGAAAAAGAATTCTGTTCTCAGGTGTCTTTTCCCAGAAAGAGAAGTCTCAGAAGCCAGTGACTTTACACAGGAAGTTAGTCACACTGTTCTTGGAAAGGCCAGTGAAGACAATGGGGCAAAGTTGCTTGTATCAGTTAGCTAGTTGGGTAAGGATGGTGCTTAACAAACAACCCCACCCTCTCGGTGCGTATCTCATGAGCATTCATGTATTCTGCATTGATGGGTCTGCAGGGTGTGCGTCGATCCAGGTTAGGCCGCTCACCTTCAAGCTGTGAGTCTGGCTGCACTGGACCTCTTCAGCCTGTTTCATATTTGTTCATTCTGACCTAGGCTGCTGGGGCAGCAGCTACCCAGGGACGCTCTTTTCACGGTGAAGAAAGAAGCATAAGAGGACAAACCTCAATGTGTCAACCCAGTTCTACCCTCTATGTTGCATCACCTGATATCCAAAGCAAGTCACATGGCTGAGCTGAAGATCAAGAGATAGGGAAGCCAACCATGTTTTTCTTGTGAGAGGAACTGCAAAGCTACATAGCAATGGACACAGGCACAGGGAGGGGTGAAGAATTAGAGTGGACAGCTTCATGCTTCTCTGACATTCCGTAGAGCCGAGAGGTCCAGCAGCCTGCATTTGTGTGCCCACAAGGTCCACAGGGGACCAACCCCCTCTGTGCAGCTGCTGCTGGGCCTGGGGTTGCTGCCACTTTGGCATCCCGTGACGATGACAGACTAGAATTTGAGCAGCCATTTGCCAGTTTGTGCTTTTTCTTACTTTTCACTGTGGAATGCTTTTCCCACATTGCTGGGAGAGTCACGAGCATCCTGCAGTCATAGTTATCAGGGAGGAAGGAAAAAAAATAATTTTTATCATCCTGCTGCTTCTGGTCTCACCTGAGCATCCCACATTTGGGAGAGTCCATCTGGAATTCTGTTCATAAGAGCATCTGGGAAATACAATTTCCAAATGTGGTGAAAACCTTTAAAGGGGATTGAGTGCTGGTGTTTTCCAGCCCACAACGGGGCAAACCAAGGTCACTAGGATGATAGGGAAGACAGCTGCAGTGAAAGGGGGTCCTGGAAGTCCTCAAGCACTGTAGCACATGCCAACACTGCTCACTAGAGTCCCCCTGTCCCTTACCTTGCCCTCGACCCTGTAGAGATGATCATTTACCCTGTGAGCACGGTGGGGAAGGAAGCACAAAATACAGGAATGGGGATGATACTGCAGGTCCGCTGCCTGTGGGGGTGATGCACCCGGGAGGGGTGGGGTTGAAGTTTAGACCTCTGTATCAGATTGAACGTTGCAAGTACTGAACGGCCTGTTTGTAATTGCATTATAAGTGCTGAAGAGCCTGTTTCTGGAATCAGAAGTTATAGGAGGAAAAATTTTTTGTTACATAACAGTGATCAAAAAAAGTCATGGGACTTGCCCTAGATTTAATCAAGAGGCAGGGCAACAGTACCAGCTAAGCAGGTTGAATAGTCATTAAGAAAAAAAGAATAAAATAATTTGATGATTAGATATTTCTTAATTGAATATAGTATGCCATTATGAAGGACTGTAATATTTGCCTATTATATATTTTTTCCTGATATTTAGTTGGGGACTGTTTTTCCAAATCACTCTCCACCTTCCACTTAAGCTTTCTTACAAGAAGAATTGTTTCTCGAAGAAAGGAGCCCTTGGGAACCGTGCAGGGCTTTGTACCCCACCCCAGGAGGAAGTTCCCTGCCCACGTGAAGACAAGAGGAAAATGGGGATCGGAACGAATATGCTTTTTCTGAGGGCCACAGCTAGATCAAAAATGTTAGGATTATCACATACTGCCAGAGAGAGCTCAGAAAAGACAGAGGTCACCTGCTTGTTTGATGGGGCCTACTCCTATGTGTGCATACTCCACATTCCTTTCTGCCTC